GACAAAGAGGATGGATCGAAACCCGGTGGCGCAGGAGGTGCCGGGTTGTTGGAGTTCCTCATGAGAGCTTGTTGGATGGGTGTTGGAGCAGGGCTGGAAGCAGAAGTGGCTGACGTAGTTGCGCCAGTTGGCTTCGGAGTTGGGTGAGCTCATGTTGAGTCTCAGGATCTGCTGTGCGGGTCGGAACCTAGCTGTGGATCAGATCAGCTATCTGTTGCGCTGCATACTTGGTGTTGTTGGTCTTGTCCAAGAGTTTTCCGTCTTGCCGAGCCCGGCTGTGAGAGACCTTGTCCAGGTCGACCTCCTGGTTTCTGAGCTGCGTCAAGAGCTCTGTCATGAAAACAACTGCTGCGATGTCTCCAGTAGGGATCAGGTAGAGTTCACGACCATGAGCCAGCTTGCGAAGCCAAAAGTTGTTGGCCTGCTGATACAGCAAGGCCGCCACAGGTAGCTGCAAAGGATCACACCCTTCGATGTCAAGCTTTTGTGTGAAGTGAAAGCTGATTGGCGAATGCTGCGTGGGAAAGTCAAGCCGTTGATCTTCTGGTTGTCATAGTGGTCTTTGTCCTCTTGCCAGTGAGGATTGAGATCAAATCCATAGGTACGGGTGGCATCCAGTGTTGCTTTGCCTCCTGGTGAGGTCATTTGTGGAGTGTCGAATGGACGAGGTTGAGATGATGGGACGGATGGAGTGCTTGGTGATACTGGTTGTGTTTGTGGAGAGGGTAGTGTGGGTGAGCAAGGCGGAGTGACTTGGCGAGGAGGAACTGGATATGGAAGAGTTGGTGGAGGTGATGGCGGAGGTGTCGGTGGGAACCGTTGACTGGGCCATGTGCCCTGAAGGACGGGTGGATTTTGATGCATTGATCTGTTCGGCATGTAGGCTCCCGACTGCTGCGTGGTAAACTGAGGTCGAAACTGAGGGCGTGACATTTGCTGTGAGTGCCAGACAGCCGCTTGCATAGGTCCACACCAGCGAGGAAAGAATGGTAGTTCTTGTCGTACTGGCTGCGCTGGTCGACTAGGCTCAGAGCGGTTTCGGCCCGGCACTGGAGATCTGGATCTATCCGAATCTGCCATTGAGAAATGTCACTCAAGATCTCTAGGAGCTATGAGAAAGGTATCAAAACTGCAGGAGGTATGCACAAGTATCCATCATTGACATGAAACGTAACAAACCATGGACATCAGCAATGAAAAAGTCATGAGAAAAAATGAAATCACGTGGATTCAAGTGCAATCGCAGTGTGTCAATGTTTGGGAGTGCAGTGATGAAACATGACACGACACGGACCATAGGTTTAAAACATGCTCAAGTCAGATTGAGGCAACCGTACTTTTTTGGTCAAAAGCGTGTCCAGGTTTCCCTAAAAATGTCTACTCCGGTTTCCGGGAATGCCGAAAAGAGCTAATCATACATGCCGACAGCTGGTCGGTGATGAGGTCCTGCTGTCAACGGCGACCTGAGCATCGTTCCTCAGTAGGGCGATAGTTTACTTCATCTGAGCTCGAGTCGCCAACATCGATCTTGTCGGTCACATTTTGCCACTTCAGGGCAACGAACTTCAATCCCACGTGGTTGCTGCGGGCAATCGTGTACTTCTCAGACGTGGTGACGATTCCCTTGTCGGCTACACCAAGCTGCGCCATTTCGTTGCCACCAGCTTTGTATGCGGTGTGGACATTTGCACCTCGATACATCGCCCCAATGACGATGTCTTGTTGTCCTTTCCCTTTCTTCTGGATCGTGTCGAGAAGCTCTCTTGCCGCCCAGTCTGGGATGGTCTTGTCACTGTTGGATACTTCTCTGCCCAGGTAGAAGGCTCCGAAGGTTGGCATGTCACACCGTTGAAGGTTCTTGTGGTAAGACCAGTTTGCTGGTCTGATCTTGATGAGCTGGGATGTACGGAGTGTCGTCCCATGAAGTAGCGCCCATGTGTGGTTTTGACGTTTGCGAAATGGAGGTGGCATCTGAAAGTGACTGGTGTCAGGTACAGGGAGGATGAGTGCAATCATGTTGGTGGAAGGAAGTTCGAGGATCTGTACTTGTGTTAGATCGTAGGCAGGAAGGAGGTGTGTGTGTGTGCTGAAGAACAGCTGGATCGCTTTTTTGATGACATCCGGGGGAATACGGCTGTCGACCTTCTTCAAAGTCTCGCAGGCTTTTTCGTATTCCTGGTGATCTATAGTTTGTGTCGGTTGAGGTCTGTCTCCTTGCGCGATTTCATTAGCCGCTCGCATCCGCTCAGGATGATTCAAGGCATACTTGATGTTTCTGAACCACTCTTCCTTGGAACCTTCTTGAAGGTTGATGGCTACGTGTCCTGGAGGGACGTTGGCAGGAGCTTGGGATTGATCCGACCCCGGTGTGCTTGGTGGTCTTTTCTTCTGGCGATGAGATGTGGTGTGGTCGGAGGAGAATGCTGTGAGTGGCTTTGTGGAAGAGTCAAGAATCATTGTAGCCAGCTGATGGTTTGGAGTAGTCAATCCATTTGGATGGATGTGATGAGTTGGAGGAATTGGAATAATCTTTCCATTGTCCCCAGGATTGCCACTGGTTGGTGGACGATTGGTCGTAGTGGTAAGACTGTGATCCAGTGTTGGTGTGGTGTGAGGACTGTTGTGGGTAGTAGTCCCATGAGACTGGTTGGAGAGTAGCTGGTGGATTGGTGGTTTCCCGTGGTGGTTGATGATCTTGTGCACGATGTCGTCCTTCTCGGTGTTGTGGAGATGCTGAGCGTAGGGTGATGGACGTGGCTCTGCTTGGCTGACGTGAAGCATGTCTGGGGCTGAAAACATTCCCTGAAGGAGGATCGAGGTCGTGAAGAGCGACGGACTCTTCTTGTGGATCTTTGACGTCGAGGGCTCCTAGCAATAAAGACTGGCCGTTTGTCATGTCTCCTTAACATGGATCGATGGCGATGGGACCGGGATCTTCGTGGGGATCGGCGAATGGATTTCGAGTATTCTCCCAAGTGATGAGAGTGACTGATGTTTTGTGGATAGGTTGGAGTGGGTGGGTGTGCTGGTGCAGGAGGTTGGCTGATATTGCGCTCTTGAGTTTTGTCCACGAAGGCTTGGATGCTGGATTCAACTGTGTGCTTCATCTGTTGCATCATCTCTTCAGGATTGAAGGATGGATTAGGTCCAGCTTGAGTGGTTTGAGGTACCACTGGTGTTGGTGGATCTGGCGCTTGGGGCCCGGATGGTTGTGGCGTCGGTGGAGTGGATGTGGCTTGCGCCTGTTGAGCAGGTTGATGGAAGGGGATGAGTTGCTGAAGATGTTGGATGTGAGATTGAGCTTGTGAAGTGAGTTGTTGATTGAGAATCGCATTCTGCTCCCTAAGAGCGGCAATCTGAGCCTGAGACTGAGCTTGTGACGATTGATTCATCATGTCACCTCCACAAAATTGACCTTGAAGTCCCATCGTTTGCGGATTCCAACCAAAGTTCCACATCGTGTCAGGGACGTTGGGAAAACGTCCGGGAAACATGGCACCGGTGCCAGGATCCAATCGGAAATCAACAGTTCAAACTATGATGCATCCACATTAGCATGCAGATTCCCCTTGTTAGGCTCAATGGCCAGAGTTCAGATCAACCCTCTAGACAGCTGAAGTACCCCTGAATTACGTGCACAATTGAACCTCACCAAAGTAACCAAAAGGAAGTGACCACACCTGGAAAGCATGTCCTGTTGCCTGAAATTTCATGTGAAAAGGCTGCGGTCAGTCTCTTGAGCTTCACTGGAAAAGAAGATTGTTGGCGTGGCTTCCGGCTATGCAGACTCCGATCAGTCAAAGAAAAGGAGAGGCTAAGCACAGCAGCCAGCAGTTCAACATTCACTCGACCGACAGGTGAAACTCTGAAAGAAGGCCATCTGTTTCACTTTACGTAGACGAATTACCAATTCAACAGTGTAAATTCAGAGATCGTTTCAACGTGTCAATCTTTAGCCTGGAAAGGCTTTCCCCGAGGGGTTCATACCACCTTGACGAAACCGGTATGAAGTACACACTTGCTCAGAAATAGCTTATCGAATTACTGATGCGGAATGCATCTCACGTGCAAAAACACTTCGGTTTAACCTGACAGGAGAAATTGGGAGACTCAACGTGAGAGTTAGTGTGAAGTGGGCTTTCTACGTCCTTGCTCGAAGGATTAACTTGTTCTGATGCAGCTCATTCAGATCGCGAAAACCGTGCAAAACAAGAAATTTGAAACCAGGTTGTTTTGAAACGGCATGGTGGTTCTTGGGTTAGCCACGTCCCATTGCGAAAAATTGACATGGAAAAAAGGCAGGTACGTCGATGAGCGTCCTCACCGATATCATGAGTGTCTTTGTTAGTGCCGGTCTCATCAGTGCCCCCGGCACCCCCTGCTGAAATTCACATTGGAAACCATTGCTGAAATTCAAGTAGAAAACCAAACTAAGATTTGAACCTCAGGCGAAAAACGAGTCAAATGCAAGTTAGAAGTTTTACATCTCTTCAGATGTTCCACACACACACACCCGCTTCTATACAAACCAAGTTTTACACCAAGCAGCTTTTACACAAACATTCTTCTACACCAAGCACTTTTTGCAAAAACCCACTTTTACACCAACCAGCTTTTTCACAAACTCGCTTCTACACAAACTCGCTTTTCCACAAACCACCTTTTATACCAACCAGCTCTTACACAAACCAACTTTTCGACCAACCAGCTTTCACAAACTACCTTTTGCACCAACCAACTTTTACACAAGTCAGCTTACACAAACCAGCTGTTACACAAACATTCACAAACCAACTTTTAGAAAAACCACCTTTTACGCAAAGCACCTTACACAACCCCTGCTTTGGGCCTGTAGGCCAAAGTCCAGAGGGCCAGCAGAATGCCGAAGGCTGTTAAATAACAATGTGATGCGGGCAATGCTCATCGCGGAGCGACTCGAATCAATCGAACAGCATGTGGCAAACCTCCAATCAAAATTTGCTGATCCTCAAAGCTAGTTGCATGGCGACTATTGAAGAAGCGCAAAGACCCACGAAGCATTGGATGAATGCCTTCACCGTGCTACTCCGAGAGCAATGTGTCCAGCCATGTTCCACAAGTAGCCAAATCTGTGAAGCCACAAATATGCGATTTACCCAACAACTACAGTGTATACAAGTAGAGCCCGGGCAAGCCGGGTGACGAAAGTTTCGAGTAGAGCCCGGGCAAGCCGGGTGACGGAAGTTTCGAGAGAGGGAAGAACCTATAAAGGCAAGGGAGAGCCTATATGAACAGCGCCTGACCCCCTGGCTGGCACGGCTGTCGGCTGCGTGATCTCTTGGAAGTCTTTGTCCTTGACATTTCTTGCTTTCCACATCTTTGTCTGATGCTGCCACTTTCTCTTGATCCGGCTTGCTCCTGACATTTCTGAATCCTGACGGCCCTCCTTGTCGACAGCTCTGGAGCCAGTGGCTTGACACACTCTTCTCTCCTGACAAGCTTTTTCTGCTGTCATGCTGTCTCTTGAAACCGATGTCGTTTCAGCCACTTTCCGTTGACGTCTCTTTCTCTTGGCATCCTTATCTTTGGGCATCTCTTTTTCTTGAGACCTTCTTCTGTTGACATTCTCTTCTCTCCACGTCTCATTCTCTTGACACGGTTTTTGTTTTTCTTGTTTCCTGTTGTTTCAGACTTTTATTTTGAGACCTCTTTCTGTTAAAATTGCTTCCTTTGACACCTTCTGTCTTGACATCTCCTTTGTCGTGAGGCCGTTTTTCATTCTCACATCTCTTTCTTGTGACATTTCCGTACCTTGCGAACAAAACGCATCCTGTGGACTGCAAGACTTGCACAAAGCCCTTCCTGTACCACAAAACCTGCCCAAAGTATTTCCCAGTACTACTTCCTACTACAAAGCTTGCACAAGGTACTTCCCAGTACTACTTCGTACTACCAAGCTTGCACATCAGTACTTGCAGTACTTCTTCGTACTACAAAGCTTGCACAAAGTACTTCCCCATACTACTTCGTACTACAAAGCTTGCACAAAGTACTTCCCCATACTACTTCGTACTACAATTAGGAAAATCTTGGGCCTGCAAACATTGGAAATTCCAAAATAATTATTTTGTCGTTTTTTTGCATTTTTGTTGCATTTTTTTTGCATTTGGGTTTGTCATTTTGGATTTGTGTTGTCATGTGTTTGTCATGTTTTTGTCATCTCTTTGTCATTTCTGTGTCATTTTTTGTCATTTGTTTGTCATTTTATTGTCATTTTATTGTCATTTTATTGTCATTTTGGGAACGGGAAAATGGAGAAAAAAATTGTTTAAAAATGACTACCATGACAGACCTTTTGTTATCTCGTGGCAGCACCAAATACAAGGAACAAGTGGAGAAACTCTTGGAAAGCCAGCCGGCGGTGAAGAAGGATAGGGCAGGGGAGCTTGCCCTGGGGAATTCGTTTTTGGGCCTGCCTGGACGAGGAGTTGTCTCCCGGCTCGGGGTGCAGGGCCGGCTCAAAAACCGGGTGGGGGGGCGGGGCCGGGGTGAAATGGCCCGGGGGAGCGGCTCAGGCCCGAGAAGCGGGGCCGACCTGGAAACTCCAAAAACGCAACTTTGCCAGCACGCGAGTCATTTTTTTTGCATTTTTTTTGCATTTTCTTTGCATTGTTTTTGCATTGTTTCGCATTTTTTTGCATTGTTTTTGCATTTTTTTGGCTTTTTTTTTGCATTTTTTTTGCATTTCCCAGACTAGGAGTCATTTTTTTTGCTTTTTTTTGCATTTCCCAGACTGGGAGTCATTTTTTTGGCATTTTTTTTGCATTTCCCAAACCGGGAGTCATTTTTTGCATTTTCTTGCATTTCCTAGACCGGGTTTGCCACCTTCACCGCTTGCCTGGTCCTTATGAGAAAACGACAAGAAAATGAACAATGCTAGAAAGTAGAAAACGACAAGAAAACGACAAAAAAATGACAAGAAAATGACAAAAAATGACTTAACAAATGACAAAAAAATGACTTAACAAATGACAAAAAAAATTACAAAAATAAATAACCAACAACCCTCAGAGTTTGCTGGTAAGATTTTCATAATACTACAAAGCCTGCACAAAGTACTTCCCAGTACTACATTGTACTGCAAAGTTTGCACAAAGTACTTCCCGGTACTACTACTTTGCACTACAAAGCTTGCACAAGGTACTTCCCAGCACTACTTCGTACTACAAAGGTTGCACAAAGTACTTCCCAGTACTACTTCGTACTACAAAGCTTGCGCAAAGTACTTCCCAGTACCACTTCCTACTACAAAGCTTGCACAAGGTACTTCCCAGTACGACTTTGTACTACAAAGCTTCCACAAAATACTTCCCAGTACTACCTCCTACTACAAAGCTTGCACAAGGTACTTCCCAGTACTACTTCGTACTGCATGCTTGCACAAAGTACTTCCCAGTACGACTTCGTACTACAAAGCTTGCACAAGGTACTTCCCAGTACTACTTCGCACTACAAAGCAAGTAGTACAATGTACTTCCCAGTACTACTTGATACTGCAAAGCTTGCACAAAAGTACTTGTAGTACTACTTCGTACTGCAAAGCTTGCACAATGTACTTCCCAGTATATACTACTTTGCACTACAAAGCTTGCACAAGGTACTTCCCTGTAGTACTTCCCAGTACTACTTCGTACTACAAAGCTTGCACAAAGGTACTTCCCAATACTACTTCGTACTACAAAGCTTGCACAAGGTACTTCCCAGTACTACTTCGTACTACAAAGCTTGCACAAAGTACTTCCCAGTACTTCTTCGTACACGACTTCGTACTACAAAGCTTGCACGAAAGTACTTGCAGTACTACTTCGGACTACAAAGCTTGCACAAAAGTACTTCCAAGTACTACTTCGTACTACAAAGCTTGCACAAAGCATTTCCCAGTACTACTTCGTACTAAAAAGCTTGCGCAATCTACTTCCAATCACTGCCTTGCAAGTCACACTACAACTGCACCGAGCACTGCTGAAATCAACAAGATGGACGCAGCCATTACACTGCAAACTGCAACCCAAGATCACCAGATCACCAAACCCATTGGCACAGCACAGTCAACCATCTCATTGCCTGACTTGAAAGTGCACTTTACAATGGCAGGAGCGAAACGGACGCAAAACCGCGTCGCACAGACGAGGTTCCCCACATCGACGCCGGGAGCCATTCTGTGCAAAAAATACAAGGTTTCGTGCAATTCTTAACGCCCAAACATCACCTTCACACAGCAGTTAAAGTTTGCCTGACTTGAAACCGTGCACTTTACAATGGATCACCAAACCCAGGAGCGAAACGGACGCAAAACCGCGTCGCACAGACGAGGTTCCCCACATCGACGCCGGGAGCCATTCTGTGCAAAAAATACAAGGTTTCGTGCAATTCTTAACGCCCAAACATCACCTTCACACAGCAGTTAAAGTTCCACTGCGATCTGCAATCACCGCCTTGCAAATCACACTACAACTGCGTCGACCACCGCTGAAATCAACAAGATGGACGCAGCCATTACACTGCAAACTGCAACCCAAGATCACCAGATCACCAAACCCATTGGCACAGCACAGTCAACCATCTCATTGCCTGACTTGAAAGTGCACTTTACAATGGCAGGAGCGAAACGGACGCAAAACCGCGTCGCACAGACGAGGTTCCCCACATCGACGCCGGGAGCCATTCTGTGCAAAAAAATACAAGGTTTCGTGCAATTCTTAACGCCCAAACATCACCTTCACACAGCAGTTAAAGTTCCACTGCGATCTGCAATCACTGCCTTGCAAATCACACTACAACTGCGTCGACCACCGCTGAAATCAACAAGATGGATGCAGCCATTACACTGCAAACTGCAACCCAAGAATCACCAAACCCATTGGCACAGCGCAGTCAACCATCTCATTGCCTGACTTGAAAGTGCACTTGACAATGGCAGGAGCGAAACGAACGCAAAACCGACACAGCCGCACCCGTCGCGTAGACGAGGTTCCCAACAAGCCACTTTGTGCAAAAAAACAGCAGGTTTCGTGCAATTCCTAACGCCCAAACATCACCTTAACACAGCAGTTCCTTTGCGATCTGCAATCACTGCCTTGCAAGTCGCACTTCTACTTCTACTACTACTACTACTACTACTTCTACTACTACTACTACTGCTACTACTTCTACTACTTCTACTACTACTACTACTACTCCTACTCCTACTCCTACTCCTGCTGCTGCTGCTGCTGCTGCTGCTACTTGCCACTTACTACTTACTACTTACTACTTACTACTTACTACGTACTACTTACTACTTACTACTTACTACTTACTACTTACTACTTACTGCTTACTGCTTACTACTTACTACTTACTACTTACTACTTACTACTTACTACTACCACTACCACTACCACTACCACTACCACTACCACTACTACTACTACTACTACCACCAGTAGTACCGCACAAGGCGGCGGCGGAAGTTTCAAAAATAGGAAACCTATAGGAAAGGTTGGTTGTTCTGAATCAGGGATGGCAGAGCGAAGCCACTGATGGACTGAAAGGTGATTGATCTCTCTCACTCTTTCTCTCTCTCTTTTGCTCTCTTTCTCTGACCTTCAACCTACCTACCTACCAATCTATCTGTGTATCTATCTATCTATCTATCTATCTATCTTTTTTAGCTGTCTCTCTATCTATCTGTCTATCTGTCTATCTGTCTATCTGTCCATCTATCCATCTATCTATCTATCTATCTATCTTTTTATTTAGCTGTCTCTCTATCTGTCTATCTGTCTATCTGTCTATCTGTCCATTCATCCATCCATCCATCCATCCATCCATCCATCCATCCATCTATCTATCTATCTATCTATCTTTTTATTTAGCTGTCTCTCTATCTATCTATCTATCTATCTGTCTGTCTGTCTGTCTGTCTATCTATCTATCTATCTATCTGTCTAGTCATCTATCTATCTATCCATCTCTCCATCTATCTAGCGATCAAACTGTCTCTCTATCTATTTGTCTACCTGTCTATCTG